GGTATATGCTGTACAGTAGGGTTGGGTTATATCGCGAGATAGGGTCCAACGATGTTCGCCATATACTAAATTGTGATATATAATTACATGTAATCAATGGGCAAAATAGGTTTAGGATCTGGAGGCCAATAAAAGTGACTAATCTTGACTTAATGAGTTTATTTTCTTACTAACTAAAGCACCAATGAACACTAGAGTCGGGAACACCAGACTGTTTCAATATCAAGGAACACCAGACTCGGCAGCTGACGCCACACTGCCACCCTCACTTGACAATCCCACACCTACATAAATGAACAAACCAAAAATATTAGTTACAGTATTAAATCTTTTCCATTAAACTTTCCATTCTCTTCACTTCACTTTTCACGTCACTAGTAACCCATTTACACTCATGTTAGAAGTTTTAATCTGCAGCAGTCAGCTGCCTTCTCATCACTCACTCAGAAAGACTGTGCGTGCGAGCGTGAATGCTCGAGTGAGCAGCCACAGTGGCGCCTCTGGTGAGCAAATAGCACATTTGTTTGCCATGGCGGCAAATTTGAAATACATCCAGCCCGATTTCCCTCACGAAATAAATAGATTTATTGCTATATGTTGGAAAATTTTGATAATATTGGTAGTCGTGATATAAAGAAAAATCGTTATAAAAATCGCTCTATATCCTGACCCTACTGTACTATACAATCTTTTAAATGTTGCTTTTCTGGGTGGTGACTGGTGAATGCCTTAATGAAAGGTTTTGTTCAAAGTTTTTGTTACCTGTATCAATACTCATGAATCTTATCCACTTATGGAAAAGACTATACAGTATCTCAGGTTATTGCCAATATCATTTAATTTATTTCATGAACTCGAGGCTTGTTCGTATAAAAATTTGAGGTTTGATGTTCATGTCATTAGTTATAAATGAGGTACAGTATTTAGTTCAGTGAACTACAGTAGTTGAGAGTTTATTCTGGCATGTGTTGACTCCCTGTCTCTCAAAGCAACCACCAGACAGGGGCTAGAGCTTGCTTGCTTCAAGACAATGGCTTGATCAGGTGAGTGGGTGTTTACAGCAGTTGTATTGATCTGATTGGGCTGTGTTTAGTGAGTGTCAAAAGTATCTTCCCAGCTCTGGATGAATGTGCTGTACTGCAAAATACTCAAGCCTTTCAACTCTCACTGGGAAACTTTTGAATATATATATATATATATATATATATATATATATATATATATATATATATATATATATATATATATATATATATATATATATATATATATATATATATATATATATATATATATATATATATATATATATATATATATATATATATATATATATATATATATATATCATGTAAATCCACAATGAAAATAGAAAGTTTAACCTGGGCCACTGACAAATGATGGTCAGTTCAAAACTGATAATATGTTACATAAATTTATTTGTCAGTGGCCCGGTTAAAACTGCTTTGAAAAACCTTTGATCTTGATGTATGACAGTTATTTTGTGGGTCCTTTTTCTGACCTGACCTGTCTAGTCACGCCACCACCCTTCTCTTAAGCTCCTCACGGTTGTGTTGGTGTGGGGATTAGTGGATGTCATCATTATGACCTGACCTCATGTTTTTAGGTCACCCTGTATATTTAAGCTCTCTGTCCATGTAATCTAGTTGCCTCTGAAGATGTCTTGAATAAAGACGAAGCTAAGGTACTGTTGTTTCCATTTTCCCGTGTGATTTTATCAAGATATATATATATATATATATATATATACAGTCAACCCTCACATTACGGCGGTCCCGCATTCCGCGTTCACCGTTAACGCGGTGCCTTGCCAGAACCTTACATGCTCACATTACGCGGCCGGTGAACAGCTTACGCTGAAGTCCGCGCGCGACGCTTATTTTTAGACGGCTCCCCACGCCGCTACCACCCACCTGCCCGCCTGCCTGCCTTCCTCCTCCGGCTAAGCGCGCCGTGCGTTGCGCAGTGTGTGTGTCTTTTGTTATAAGTATTCACTCGACGCTATATGACGATCAGACCCAGATTATTGGGCATCCCTACCTCTACAAGGCTGTAATTGGCTTAAAAGTATTATGACGGTCCACCCGGGAGGGAGGAGGAGAGACGACGCCATCCATGCAGTTTCATCCTCCAGGCTACTCAGAACGCCAAGATCTGACAAAACCCAGAAAATGGCTTCCGCCGGACCACCACCCCCAGAGAAAAACCTTTCCTTACCTGGACCCAGCGGCACTAAACCAAAGAAGACACGACGTTCCTTAAGCTACGAGGTGAAGTATAGCATCATCCAAGAGTTGGAGAAAGGAACAAGGCAGGTTGATTTGGCGCGCCAGCATGGCGTGAACGAATCTACGATCCGGACTATAAAGAAGGATTCAGCCAAGATAAAGGAGCACATGAAGATCACAAAGTCTACAGGTGCTTCTATGATCAAGTATTTTCACAACCAGGTGCTTCTCAAGACAGAAAAATTACTTGTGAGGTACTTGGTGCGTCAGGCGCGACGGAACATGGCGGTCGACACGCGCTCTGTGAAGGACTACGCACGTGAACTGTACATGGCAGTGGCACGAAAGATGGGAACTTCAGAGCCCAAACCCTTTACTGCTTCCTCTGGGTGGTTACAGAGGTTTAAGATCCGGAACAAGATCACCAATATAAACATTGGTGGTGAAGAAGCGAGTGCTGATCGTGCTGCGGCTCGGGAATTTCCTCCGTTTTTACGTGAGATTATGGAGGAAGGACAGTACAGTGACGACCATGTGTTTAACATGGACGAATCTGGTCTTTTCTGGAAAAAACTACCTTCCAAGTCCTTCGTTGTGAAGAATGCCAGCAGGATTCGGGGCCGGAAAATGCAGAAGGAGCGCATCACCGTCCTGTTTACCACCAATGCCTCCGGTACCTGTAAGCTCAAGTTATCGGTGATCCACACAGCCCGCAAGCCGCACGCCTACAAGAGCATGGACATGACCAAGCTAAATGTCCACTGGCTGACAGCACGTAAGGCATGGATGTTCTCTACACTGTCCCTCTCCTGGTTTGATGACTGTTTTGTTCCTGATGTAAAGAAATTCTGTGAGCAACAGAATGTCCCATTTAATATTTTGTTGCTGCTGGACAACGCACCAGGACACTCGCCCCTACTGTTAGATCGTCACCCCAACGTAAAAGTGGTCTTCCTTCCTCCCAACACTACGTCTTTAATCCAGCCCATGGACCAGGAGTTGATTTGCAATGTGAAAGCTGCATTCTCAACAAAAAAATTCCAGCTCCTGAACGACTACACCAACACCAGGGAAGAGTTGCGTAACCTGAGTGACACCACCACCGATAGCAAGAGCGACGAAGATGAGGAACAACAGTTAGAACAGCAAAAAATACTCTTCAAACAATTCTGGAGAGTATTTAACATCAAGAAAGCTGTGGACATCTTGGTGGAGTCATGGGATCAGCTGTCTATTGCTACAATTCGTCACGCATGGAGACATGTGTTGCATGGAATACCAGGTGAGAGGAGGAGTCAATCTGTGACTGGTGAGGTTCAGAATGTTGCAGTAGCAGTGGACCTTGCCAGAGAAGCTGCGCAGACTGTTACAGTTCCAGGCTTCTCCGAGACCACCAACGACGACATCCTGGAGGTGATCAGAAATCCTGAAGTGACTGCCGACGAGATGTTGGAAGAAGAACACGTCAGTGAAGAGGAGGAAGAAGGTGCGGCAGTCTCCGAAGAACACAATTTAAGTCATAGTGATATTAAGGGTGCCATGGAGTGTGCAGAGAAGATGAAGTCCTTCCTTTCCCGCGACAATGACGATGACCGCTATGAAGTCTTCCATAACCGGCTGGTGCAGGCTATGGAGCCGTACATCAAGGTGTATCACGACAACATCAACGCCAGCCGTCAGCAAAGCATAACAGATTTCTTCACCCGCAACCCACCACAGCCAGTGATAGTGACAGTGAAGTTGACTTTGAGGGATTTGTCAGGGAAGCCCTGACAACTGTAATTGACAGTGATGATGATTCACCTAGTAATGGTGATTCACCTGAGGGCCAGTAATCTGCCCCCCTCCGCCTCGGAACCAGCCTCCATCCCCGTATGCAGACCCATCTCTTCTACTACCGTAAGTGTTCCACATAATTTTTAGTTTTCTAACCTTACCTTTATTTTTCCTATGTTAACCTTTATCTTTCCTAACCTAACCTCTTCTATATTACTTGTTTTTTCATACCATCATAAAGTTAAGATAAAATTTTTACTGCAACATAGTTATGTGTCGTCAAAAAGTGGAGTTTGGGGATCGGCCTGGACTCCATTTCAATTAATCCCATATGTTATGTTGTTCACTTTACGCGTTCCTCACTTTCCGCGGTACCCTCTGGGTTACATTAACCGCGTAATGTGAGACCCAACTGTATATATATATTTTGTTACTATTTGTATTATTTTATTTATTTTTTATTTATTTATTTTATTTATTTTTTTACGGGCATTAGCCCACCCGGGCACAGGTCATTTTTAAGTGCATAATTTAATTACACTGAGAAATGTGGTAATCTACTGTGAAATATATAATTTTTCACATAAACCACTAAGGGAAGTTTCAAACTATGATATGATATGTGTCCATATAGATGAATCATGCTAACCAATCACTCATACAGTACTAACTGTTCATATGTCATCGAGGTAAATCTATGATTATACTCTGCCAGCTTTAAAAAATCCTCAGATAAAACTGGGAAGATAGTTTAGTTGCTCACTGTACCTTTGTAGAATACAGATAAACCCTGAAAGAAGGCAGACCCAATATGGTGATATTCTGGTAGGTGATCTCATGGATCATGTGTTTCATCCCCATGGTCACAAACTGGGAGCTTACACTTCAACTCTGTTTCCTTGTACCAGCAGCTAGTATGCTAAGTGTCTCAATTCACATATAATTTTTACTATTGTTTTCCCTTGTGGTTGGCAGGGCATACTTTGCAGGAGCAGGTTTCAGCACATTAGTTGGTGGAACTTCATCTGATATTCTCTATGGTCCACTACCCTTATACCACACTACAGGGGGAATCATAGGATTAGGCCACACTCTTTTTACGGGCGGTGCCACTGTCATAAAACGGAAATTCTCTGTCACACAATTCTGGTCTGATTGTGTGAAGTACAAATGTACGGTAAGATTTTTTTTTTATTATTATTATTATTATTTTGTGCACAATCCGATATTTAGAGCGAAGTTCAGGTGATGGGTAAAATTTCTTCATCTAGTACTGTATATCTAAACTGTTTACTGGTGTTCTGGTAATACAATCACCAAAGGTTTATGTATGTGCATGGGATGAGGTAAACAAGTCTAATTAATATTCACCAATTCTCTCTAAAATCCTCATAATTCAAGATTTAGTGTGAAAATACATCAAGGAAATGAGAATAGATTGAAATTCTTTTTCAAATCATCATTTTGCAAAACTACTAAAATATAGATTTTATTTCCTGTTTGTGAAAATCTATTTGTAATTTGTTTGGATATATTTCTCAGAAAATTTTTAATCAGGTTTTATGAGGTACACCAAAACTGATTGGATTGAATGATGCTGAATATTTTACTAACAATGAACAGATGCATGTCCACATAGTGAATTCAATCCATTTTCTTTCACTCTTGCTGGTGTTGTGAAACAATTCTTGTTGGTTAATGTGCTTCCTCATGTTTTGGCATAGATATTGGCAAAGGCATTTGCTTGTCTGCAGTTTAGTTAATAGAAGAAGGTGGGGAGGGAGAGATATTTACATTGCTAGGGGGAACAGCGTTGTCAGGGAGAGTGTTGAGGTAAGGCACTCGGTATCTGGAGGGACTGCTCCATTTATTTTTTTAAGGGGTTTTAAAATCTGCACAATGTACAGTATTATATTTTATACAATATACAGGTAACCCTCGAAGATCCGGACTAAAAGGGGTGGGGGCCACCTGTCCGAAAAAGCCGTATGTCCGGATCTTCCGGTGAATGTGCTAAATGTATAAAAACAATAAATAATTATATAAAAAACACCAAAAATACAGTACATATTATCCTGACCCCTGGGGTTAGTTATACAGACTTTTTCCTGTGAAAAAGCCAAAATTTTGAGCAACATATTACTGTACTCACTTTGTACTCAAATGTACTTCACTAAAGGACTAAAATTTTTATCTCTTGTGCAAACTATGTTATGTTTATACTCAAATAATTCACTATCATGCAAGGATTCCAGCAATGCAAGTTATATTCTGCTAAGTTTAGTCTGTGTCATTTTATAAGCTAAAAACTTCAAGCCTAAAACTACCTTCACCCTGTTTAGGGAATGCTTGTTAGAGAGGCTTCTTAGCCCAGAGCCCCCAAATTTTTTGCCCGAATATTCCAAAATCCAGATTTACAGGGTGGGAATCTTCAAGGGTTCACTGTATTAAACTTTCTTTTAGGTATGGCATACACCCTGTACAGTATACTTATTTTCAACCTGTACTGTACATTATTGATCTCAAGGAATTTCAGTCAGGGGTCACTTCTCCTAACCCCTATTTTCCATTAGAGCTCGCCCTTTCCTACCACAACTTTGCCAGCCACGGGAGAATTCTAGAACATAACCCCTGCATTTTAAGGGATTACTGTATACTGTGTATGCAAGTTGAGAAAGTGGATTTTCCTACTTTTTTACTTAATCTTAGTCTGTGGCATCCACCACTGTTTTTACACCTCCGATTCATTGAGATTGTTGTTTCTCTCAGTCCAGCCAACACAAAAGTAGAAGAGGAGTGAAGATAGTACTGTACTGTATACTTGTATAAATTTGCAGTTAAACAGCCCCCTCCCTCACACAACCCCCTCCCTCACACAACCCCCTCCCTCACACAACCCCCTCCTTCACACAGATTCCAATGTGGAAGATCATTCAGATTATTGGTTGAGTTGATATCACATAATTATCTCTTCTGTTCTTTTGCTAATTCCAAGTTGATGGCCAATGATACTTTTGTTCATTTCATTTCACTGAAAGAGATGTTTTTATATCTTGAAATTTTGGTGTTTTCTAAAAGATTTCTGTTATCCTTCTCTGTTTACTGTTTATCATTTAATACCTTGGGGGCATTAGAGAGTAGTTACTACACATATCTTCAAGGCTATCAACCCATTTATTTTTGGTGCTGATGGGTAGAAGGACATTTATCTTTGCCCAGAGAAAGATAAATCTTCCTTTGGAAAGAAGCCAACATTCTTGTCTGACTGTACAGTAGACTTGATGCAGTGGTTAGGGACTGATCTCCTCTGGATTTTTGCAGATAATTGACACATTTTAGTGATCATATCTAAATATAATACATAAAATTTTGATGAAATGCACTGATGTACCTTAACATCTCCCTTCACATCCATAAAAAGTGATAATGAAATCAATCCTGGAACATTTTGTGAATCATACAAGCCATCTTACTTGTTCTATAAGTCATGGAAAGTATTTGTGTTCTTTTTCAATGGACAAGACTTGGTTGCCTTACTGAGAGTGAAAATTTAAAGCCTTTGTGTTCCTGCAACATCCTGATTGAAAGGCCATAAGGGAGTTGTTCATCAAATACAACACCCCCATCCCCTCTAGTGCTGCCGTGGAGTGCATGTTCTCCAAGCCCAAGCGCAGCAGAATGAGCGACAAGCATTGTGAGATGCTAGTATTCTTGCGGGGGAACAAATGAATAATTAAAATGATATAATATAAATCATAATAAATTATTAAAATTGAATGAATATTTTTTTATTTTGCATATGTTACTCCCATACACAGGAGATTGCGCGTTTCGGGGCTGCATTTGTACGTCACTGAAAACTCGTTGACGATAGGTGTTGATGCTACGGCATCAATTTATGAAATCGTTTATGCCGACGCTGACGGCATCAAATTTCTCGGCCGTTTACACTGATGCTGGTGGCGCCACTTTTTTCGTTGACGCATACAACACTGGATACCTGTACAGTATATGTATTTTGTATTTTGTTTAGTACAGTACGTATATGATAATTAATACACGTAGTAATGACTAAAACAAAGAATTAGGGTCCATTGTTTGTGATGTATCTGTCACTGTGCCATCTTCAGAATTGTTTATTTATTTTTGAGAAACTGTTCTTCTCTCTCCTATTTTATAAGATTACATACAAAAATACTTGAATGATTTACTGTAGTGTTATTTATGGCTTGACACATGTCCAGAACTCCTGTATGTGTGCACTGTAGCCTAGTCTGTAGTCTGTGAACCCTGGGATTCCCAAGCTTGTCAGCTGTGCTTAATCTAAAGATACATTCCATAGCACTTCAGCTTACATAAAAGACCATAAAAGTCATGAAGCAATGCAGCCATTTACCACCTACTCCTCAGTAGACTAACCCAGTCTATACTACATACCTTACTCCAGCCACACACCTTGTTGGGTCAAGACATGATTTTTTGCCAATTATGCTTCTGTTTTGAGGAGCAAAGAGCCAGGCCTCGTTTATATATTCTATTCATAGTCTTGTATATTATTTGGTATAAGAATGGAGTTTACCTTCTTTTACTTTATTTTACAAGTGTATACCTAACCTATGAGTTGGAGTGAAGGAGGTCGAGTGCAGTCTTGACCACATTACCTCATATATGTAGTGTGCTGTATCCACACTCGCTGTCCCAAACAAGCAGTCATACCTATGGAACCCATTTTAACTTTGTCACAGGTTCAGTAACAACCTAATTAGGGTACAACTAGTGTGGCAGTTTGAGGAACCACCTTGTCACTAGACCTGTACCTGTAGTCAAGAAGAATTTTGCTGCCTGTTTTCATTAAACAATATTTTTTGGGCATGTTGGTTTGCTTGGTCTAGGGTTATTAAGAGGAATTCAGAAGAGGTTGGGAAGTGATAGCAGTGTTTCCCACCTTGTGGTCAATATAGCTTGGTGAACAGCCAGTCTGATTAAGGAAGATTTCTGGTTACTTGTAAATAACTGCTGTGGTCTTATAATACCATAACACCATTTATTTTAACCCGATAACTGTAGTAGAGTGATTTGCCAATCAACCCTCCAGTGCACCAAAAAAAAAAAACATACTGTACAGTAATATCGATTTTTCCCCAACATCATTTTAACTCTTGGGGATTAAAAGATGGTACAGTATTTAGAAGAATGTGGAAACCAAATTTGAGTCCATTTCTTACCTTAGTTTGACCTCCACTCTTTTATAGGGCAGAAAACAGATTTTTGCTTCTATTACTCACCCCAACACAACTTATTTGACAGTTTCACTAAAAGTAAAATGAAACTTTCAACATCACTCTCAATGGATCTTGAATATTTCAGCTATAAGTAAGTATACAGGTATATATCTTATGGTAACACATACACATTCATTCATAATTACAAATATATATACTGTACAACATCAATATGGGATTTCTTGAAGTTTTGGAAATGGATGATTGAGAAAACATATGCCTCAGAGGGGGCACTTAAGAAACTGGCGAGTGTAAACACCCCATGCTTGACCCCTTGAGGTATAAACTTTTTCACACGCTGCATTCAAAACTCTGAATTCCAGAATTTATGTCACACTCCTTCGCTTATGGGTTAAGGTGTTATGGTTTCAATGGGAGATACAGCTGATCTTTGGATTGATTCCAACAACTAAGTTTGGGGTTCCCTGTGCTCCACGTCCATAGGCTTAAGCAGATGCATATTTGAGTCACTTGTGACTGACTATTATTAAATGGGTTATCAGGATCCATCTTTCATTGATCCAGAATTTTACATAACTAGACACTATATGTTGTTCGATACACACCATTGCCCTCCAAAAATTAAAGGTCATGTTAAAAGATTTTATTAGAGTACTTATGTTATTTTATTTACTAAAACTTGTAGATTTTTATTCCACGACTCGGTATAACAATACAATACTTATTAAAAATTATTTTATGAGTTATACAGTGAATGAAAGTGATCAGTACTTAGTTGTGCAGTAATAGGGCTGAATAGGTGTACTATTTTTAACACTAGAAATTTATTATACTTAATATTATATAAAGAAGTTTCTCTTTTGGGAGGGTTTGGGTTTTGTGTGTGCTCAAGTGTACAGTGTATGTGCAAGAATACATATTAATAGTGTGCGAGAGGTGGGTCAGTATGTCTGTTGTGCGGTTACCTTGGTGTGGATTTTTAGAAATTCTTCATATTTCTTGTATCTTTTCATCTTCAGAACTTTTGCATATGTTACAAGTGGCAAGTGGAAATTAATTGATGCAAACTGTCATGGTTTTGCTCCAAGAATGTCAAGGTCTCTGACATGCATCTACATGCATAGCCACTGGAATCGTGCCAGTTCCAGGGGTTATTGCTACTTTGCATGTACATAGTTTGTGTCAGCATGACAAGAGACTCTAACTAAGGAGAATCCCTTTTTTCTCAACAGAGTGATGATGGTGGCATTTGGCAGGTATACTATTTAATGCTTTAGGTTTGTTTTAACAGGTATGCATTATCTTTCTCTGCATGATAGGTTTCTGTTCTTCACCTCCGGCGTGTTTTACTTAACGGCGCTTAACCCAAGTGATGTGATATACGACCCCCTTCCGCTGTACCATACTGCAGGAGGCATGCTCGGATCTGGGCAGGCACTTCTTTATGCCTGTTCTACAGTTATTAGAGTCAAGTTCTCAGCTTCAAAATATTGGGAGGAAACCATAAAATATAAAGTCACGGTATGGCTGGAAAGTGCAATGGTTGAGAGAAATTTATTGTGTGTATTTTTTTTTCTTAGACCATGCTAAGTTCTCATTTGTTAGCATTTAAGTAATTTTCACAACCAGTGTGAGTTAAAAGGTTTTCTGTAATATTTTGCTTGCATCACTGCACATTTTCTTTGGTCACATTATTTACTTGAAATACATTCTTATTTCAGAAGCTAGAAACTTCATGGAAAAAGCATAGCACTCATACTAATTTTTTAATTGCTTTATGAAAAATTTGCTGATTAGTTAACAATAATTATTTTTTGTCACTAAGTTTTTAACACATCTTCTCAACATGATCAAGTTTCTCACCACAGAATTTGTCACTAGTAATATAACATAATAATGATTTTCTTCAAGCTTAATACCTGTAGTGCCTTTAACTTTTTTTATCACTTGAAGTACAGTAATGTGGGGATTTGCTAATAACACCTACTTTTCCTCTATCTGGTTATCAAATTTATTTTTTAAATGACTTAAAACTAATAATTGGGGGTTCAAAAATAATATTGAAATGGATTATTTTGAAATACTAAGGAACTCACTTATTGTTTGTAACTGACTGGTTTGAGCTAAATCCCAATTTAATGTGTAGAATATGTGAAAAAAAAGTATGAGAAACCGCTATTAACCCCTTCTTTACCTGAAACCAAAAGTACGGTTCATGCTTACCTTATCCAATAGGGCATAGATACCACAGTTTTGGATTGCGGTAAAGAAGTAATTAAACACCAATACCCCTGAACATTACAGAGTGCATTATTGAAATTTCTCTCAATATTTTATTATCTGTAGAAGCAGATTGGAAAATGATGTTAGACTAAAAGAATATTAAGACAGTTGAACAAAGATGTGTTTCAACCTAATACAGTATATTTTTGTGTAATACTCATCTAGCTGAGAATAGTATTGCTGGTGCTAACATTTTTAAATTAGACTATTAATCTTAACTTTTCCTTTTAAATTTGCTGGTGACATTGAATGGCAATTTCAACATACAGGTCGTAGAATCTGCCAAGAGAACCGATAGTGAGGCACTGAATCACTACGTCTGTTATGCATTTTAATGACCAGGGTAAGATTATAAGACATGATGGATTATAAACTCACTGTGGATGTCATCTGCTGTTATGAAAGGAAATGTTGCAAAGCTCTTCAAGTAATTTTGTATTGGTATGCAAGTACTCTATTGTTAGGAGGATAATTAAGGTACTTTTGTGGATGATTTTTGAAAAATTACCTTTGACTGACAGAATTAGAGAAATTTAGGACCTAAATCTGGCATTTCTTTAATTTTGCACTGAAATTTAACTGTGTGTTTAAAAAAATTGTGTTTATTTAAGTCATTGAATGAGAGTAAGTAAGGGATGAGTTTCATATTAGGGATATGAGCATTTTTTTTAAATCCTGAGAAATAGAAGTGCTCTGTTTGTGTGCATGCGAGTGTGTGTGTGTGTGAGAGAGAGAGAGAATTGGTTCCTATTACTAGGAGTTTCCCATATTATATTATTCGAGACTACAGTAAATTCCCTAAGAATTATGACATTTACTAAAAAAGAAGAAAATACAGTAGATAAGTTATTTTGTATTTTATTTTAGCTACTTGCCTTGTAGATTGGAGCAGTAAAGTTCTATTATTACTCAAAATGGTGTTGAAAGTCCTCAAAAAACATATTAGAGAAATTAACTCTTATTAAAGAATCACTCATGAACTGGAACACAAGAATTATTTTCACCTTTATAAAGTGTAAACAGAATTATGTGTCTTCAATTTGTTTGTTTGTTAAATTTGTGGTCTCTTGAACTAAAAGATTTGATTCAACAGTTTTGTTCTTAACCAAAGAAATTTACTTACTGAAGAGTGATGTGTCATCAATGAACTGGAAGGGTGGTGATGATAGACTTGCTGAAATATAAAAGCTATGCTGGGTTGATAGCGAAACTTGTAGATTCATGTACTGGTATGTGGAGTTGCCATTTATCTTCATGATTTGTTCTATAACCGTGTAGTGTTTTATTTGCTTTATTAGAGTATGTATTTGCTTTCTTTTTCTCTTTTGCTTTTTTAGGAATGCTTCTGTCTTTTGCTTTTAACCATAAAAGTAGCAGAATGTAGCATTTTGTCATCAGTTTTATTTGACACTGTATTGTTAGTTATTGGGGTCTTTAACATGATATACATGATATATTTTTGAAAGAGTAATAACTTGTTGATTACTGTAAGTAACTTGTTCATGTTTTGACAGTAACTTGTTTATTTTTTCATAGTAACATATTCATGTTTTGACAGTAACTTGCTTGTGCTTTAACAATCCTCATTGATGGTAAAATGCAACAATACATTGACCTTTAAAGCTCCCTGCCTTGAGAAGCCTTGCTTTAGTACTGCTAAATATATTTAAAATTTTTGTAATTAGCTTGGGGCTACAGAAAAGGAGAAATTATTTTCAGGCCAGTTCTGTTTTATTTATCATCTTGCATCATTTATTTTACTAAGTTATTCACTCTAACTTTTGTAAAAAAAAATAAATTTTAAATTCTATGATTACTTGTCTACAGTATATTTATGAAGATAAAAAAATAATTAAAATTTTATTTGTTGATACTGTATTAAATTGCAGTATTTATGGAATTCTTTTGTCTGCATATAATCATGTAATAAACTTAAATTTGGAGTTAATTTTATATCAGAAGTTAAGTTAAAATTTTTTAAGCAATTAATTTTAAGTACAGGTTAAAAAAAAATGCATAAGTTAATATTTTCAACCTTATAAAATCTTCAGGCTGCACAGTACATTGGTGAAATCTGCCGTTACCTCCTCAACATGCCAGAGAAACCAGAGGACAAAGGACACCAGGTTAGCTCCCATAACTTGTTAAGTATGAAGGAATATCATATTTAAGTATGTGTGTTTTATACATGTGTTTGTATAGATGCAGAGAAAAGTAACAATTGATATGCAGTCTTCTCAATTTCAGGTGGCAAATTTGTCATTTATTTTTCAGTTATTCAAAAACATATTTTAAAGTTTATAAAGTTTTTGTCTGTCAGTGAAATATGTACCTACACACTGTTGCTATCCTTGTAGTAAAAGAATAGCAATATCTCATTCACATAAAACATTCAATTTTAGTTTGAACTCCCCCCTTTAAGATGTAATGAGATGCTTTAAAATGTATGGGAAGGCTGGATATATTCATTTATGTTCTGATTTATAATTAATGTTCATAAATTTTCCTGGTGTGTTCAAATTGTGGCTTGTGGTGGAGTATTACCAACTCTTGATAATTTTTCCAATCTTTGCTCAACAAATGTTTTCATTGCACTTAAACATGTTGTGTCCATACTTCTGTAATGACAAGTGAAACATATCTATCCACGTCGGGGACATCTTTTCCTTTCACTTAAATCAGGTAGGCTGCCTGGTACAAAATCTTTTCAGACAATATTTACTGACCATTTCATTTTGCCAATTCTGAAAGACCTATGCATGGCTTTTACATCAATGAAGTTTTGCAGTTGCCATCTGTTTGTGTTAGAAAAGAAAATAAGTTTTCAGTAGTGCATGATTGGTATCAGACGATGAAGTTAACACGTAGCAGTAAATGGGCTGTTGTATTTTGTTTTAGGCACAGTACATGTTGATAAAGATTCAACTGCCTGGGTTTTCAAGCACCATTTATTTGATATTAGTTTCTACAGCAGACCACTTTTGAAGTATTATAAGTGCTTTCACTCCTAATTTGGAACTCTAATGTATATGTAGTTGCACTACAGATTTAATGGTGGTTTATGTTTAATTCTCAATTTCCATATTCATTTTGATATTGCTGTTATTTAGTTTCCATTCATGTCTGCCATTATCCTACTCATGATTTCCCAATTGATTGACTATTTTGTGAAATCTTACAAAATCAACCAACATTTGTCAAACACATTAATATTTCTTTGTAGTATACAGTATTACCCCGCTTAACGCGGTTTCGCTTAGCGCGTTTTACCGTATACGCGTTGCCTCGCCAGAGCCGAACTTTCACTTAACGCGGGTTTTTTCCACGTATGCGCGGTGTGTCCGGCTCGAGAGCTATTTTTAGATTCGCCCCACCCGCCACCCTGCCTGACTGCCTGTTTTAGCTCATAAAATTCATACAAATTACCCGGCCAGAATATAATTTACATTGCTGGAATTCTTACAATATGATGATCATTTTGAATATAAACATCATAGATTTTGCATTAGACATACAAATTTTAGATATAATGTTTACTCTGAGTAAATATGTTATCTTTTGTGCAAAATATATGACATTTATATTCAAAATATTCCTGGTCTTACAAGGAATCCAGCAATGTCAATTGTATTATCCTAACTTTAGTTTGAGGTATTATTTATTAAAATTTAGTGGTTTTCCCCAAAAATTTCTCAGAGAGGGAAGAGCCAGCAGTGTAGTGTGAGAAGAGGGGGAGGGAGTCGAGTCCATTATTTGAATGGACATTAACTTGGCGACTGTATTTCTCTATTTCTCTTAAGTATTAATTGTGTGCATGTACCATCATAAAATTAAGATGTTATTTTTACTAGAACATAGGTATTGTGTCGGAAAAAGTGGAGTTTGGGGATCGGGCCAGTTTCTATTGGAATTAATCCCATATGTTCTGTTGTTCACTTAGCGCGGTTTTCACTTAACACGGTACCCTGTGGGTTTTATTGACCGCGTTAAGCGGGGTACTACTTTATAGAAATGGCAATTTAGTTATTTTTTGTGATACTGTGCTGTACAGTTCTGTACAGGTACCCAAACACACAATATTGTACATTTTATTTATTTTTTTTTCTGATATGATTGGGTGTCAAAATTTAGGGAAGCTTCTATAGGTTGTACTTTATCCTGAGTGCTAGACAGGGCATGTACTGTACAATATATTAATTCTGAGAGTAAAGGAAGAGTTACCACAAAAAGTTTGAACTAGGAGGAAAATACAAATAGAATAAGATAATGTTACAAATGTTAGAGTAAGTGGAATTTGTGAAGGGTATACTGTAATATACAGTAGAAGTCCAAAAATCCGGACTGCTTGGGGATTGGGTTGGTCCGGATTTTCGGATTTTCCGGATTCTCAGGCAGTACTTTTAAAATTCAAATTTAAGGAGGAATAAAGAAGAGATGAACAGGTACATTTTGATAAGGAGGAATAAAGAAGAGATGAACAGGTACATTTTGATAGTTTATTCATTAGCAAATATAGCATGCTTCATTTATCAAAACGAGCAGTTTTAATGAAAAAGCTGTGAATTCTAGAATTTTATTCTTTGCCATTTTTATATCATAAATTGTATAGTTTCCAATGTCGTATGTTTCCATTAGAACAGTATTGCTCACACCATGTTCTAGTTTCTTAATTATTTCAAGTTTGTCACTCAATTTCAACGTGTTCTTCTTTCTCTTCACACAACGAAGTTTATCTACTTTAGGAGCCATTATTATGGGCTTGTACAGTACTCTGTAAATGGAAAGAGTAGGACTCAAAATATTGTTATATTATAATGGTATTCTATTCATACTGTGCTTGATATAATGCATTCACGGAAATGTAATATTTTTGCTGAAATGACATACGTATTACAGTGGAAAGTGGGAAAAAATCGTGACGAAAACAATGACTTTCCCTTTCTTTCGTTCAAAAGATGTTACCGTAATCGCTTTTCGTATGGTTTTCAGTTAAAAACTGTTGTATTACAATAATATTCTATCCTAATTGACTTGAATAAATACTACGATACTATATTTCTGAATATTTTCATTAAAATCCATCAAAATCATTTTCCTTTTCATCGTCTGCAGCACCAAACAGCTTCTCCCAGTCCTCTCCTTGAACAGGGCTAGAGGGTACGTGTTTTTCGAATCGTTTTCAGTTAAAAAATTATTACATCACACGTAAATTTTACCTAAACTGCGCCTGAATGAATATATTCTCGGAAATAAATAGTAGTTTTGCTGAAACGTGATGTATTTCAATGTAAAATAGGATAAAATACATGACGAAAACAAAAGACTTTACCTAAGCTTCCGATGTTCTTGAGATGTTACTCGTTTTTTTAATAGTTTTCGGTTAATTTTCTGTTATATTACAATGATATGATATTCATACTGTGCTTGATATAATACATTCATGGAAATGTAATATTTTTGCTGAAATTACGTACGTATTACAGTGGAAAGTGGGATCAAATTGTGACGAAAACAATGACTTTCGCTTTCTTTCGTTCAAAAGATGTTACCGTAATCGCTTTTCGAATGGTTTAGTTAAGAAACTGTATTACAATAATATTCCCTCCTAATTGACTTGAATGAATATTTGAATGGAAATATACAATATTTTTGTTGAAACTACCCGCGTTTCAGTGTAAAGTGTCGTAATAATAAATGGTAAACAATTTGCCTTCGGCACTCGTGTTTCAGGCACGGCGAGCCTCGGTTTATAGGATGTAGTGTTTTTACTGAAGGTTTTGTTGTTCCATTACCCTCAAAAACGTGGGTCGAACTATAAACGAGGAATATCATGAATTAACAATTTCTTGGTCAAAAAATCAGGGTCGACCTATAAACGAGGGGAGGTTATAGACGAGTATATACTGTACGGTATGTTGTCACAGTTTGATTGCTCGTTTTAAAGTGGCGACCACGAGGTCGCTTGTTGTCGCTGTGGCGCTCACGCATGCGCACATACACACAAAAGCCAGCTAAAAAAAAAAAAAAAAATAGTTTTTGAAAAGTCCGGATTTCTGGCATCCGGATTTTTGGACTTTTACTGTACTGTCATGTTATATTATCCAAGAAAACCCTTAAAGAGGAGAAAGGACCCATTTTCCAACAGCATTCATGTGTGAGTTGCAATGGTCACCCAATCTACAACTAAAACTGATGATTCTTGTGTGAATTTTCTGATTTTGATAGTTAAATTTGCTGAGCATTAAAATTTAGTGAGTCATGTTATGTAAAACCCATTTCACAGCTCTCCTTGCTGCCTCATATTAGTTTATTTGTTTATATTCAGTAAATGCAAATAATTTCTTAATTTTGAATGTGTTATATTAAAAAGTGGGGATAAATTAAGCAAATATTTTAACCATTTGGATACGTATTTTGTTTTTCAATGAGTGTCAACCTTTCATCTGTTATACATCTTAACTGACCAACCATATTTGTCAGTTTTTACCATGCTACATTTTCATTTCTCTTAAAAAAAAAAAAAAATATACACAGATAAGCCCCATGGAGCGTTCTAAGATTCTGAAATTGAAGATATCAGGTATACCTGAATTATTATTATATTTTTTAATCACTACAATACTTACGAAGTACAGAACTTTGGGAAAGTAGAAAAAATAAGGGAAGACTTTTGTTTTCTTCATAGATATTAATTCTGTCTCAGAATAAAAGTTGGTGTAACCCAATTTGATTTGTTTGTACTGTACTTGAGAATGTTAATACTATCCCTTTAATGTTTACCTTTTCCTAGATCCGCTTAATGTTTGGTAATGGGCTGCGGCCTAACATATGGAAAGAGTTCCAGACGAGGTTTAATATCCCCAGGATTAATGAGTTCTACGGCTCAACTGAAGGGAATGCTAATATTAGTAAGTCTTCTTAGATTTTTTTGGAAGTAGCATTTGTTATGAAAGTTTACACTGTTTTATTTCCAGATATAATGAGAAGTTGGGCAAAAGTACAGTATTGCATAAGAAATGGAACATTCTTCTATTTTATAGCTAATTCATATGTACAGGGTGTTGCATAAATCGCTTAATCGAGAGCAATTGTATTTTAGTATTTATATGCTCTCGGTAAAGTGACTAATGTGCCACCCTGTATTTTAATAGTACTGTAAACTATATACAAACAAGGAAGTCATTTCATGCTTACTGTACAGAATTAAAGCGCATCATTGTTTATTGTTTGTACATTACTGTACTGTACATTGCAGGACTGTACATTATCTGAATACCTGTACTGGTAATTGTTGTAGAATCCTTTATGCTGAATACAAACAAGTGCAAATGGTGTCATGAGAGGATTTATATTACTTTTTGGAGAGTGGAAATAGTTCAGATTGATTGTCAGGATGAGGTTTGGAACTGTGAAGTATGTGGTTGACAGGGTTAATGACCTTGTGCTCAGATGATTAGGCAAGTAGAAAAAGGATTACGAACAACTTTAGGCAAGTATTGGTAGCCAAGATTATGTACATGACTGGCCATGGACCAATTACAGTACATGTATCAAAAAATTTAAGATTTGCCCTGACTGTTAATTAGTGGAGGCTCTGGTTTGACTAACTTTTGTGTCTAATTGAAATTGTTATTCTTATTTAGATACTGTGTACAGAAATTTATAGGACATTTAGTATTAAAGTAAGGAAAGGAAGGATTAGTAGTGAAGACAGGATTGTGTTCTGGAAGTGTAAATTTCAAATGGAGCAGTGATGGAGGTAAGGATAAACACAGGTGATAGAGTTGAATAAAATAATGGTAGAGAATGTGGTGTAAAATTCACTTTATATTTGCAATTCTAATATTGGGCCAATCTGAATTGATTAATTTTCTGTCTTCATGAATGGATGGATATCTGGCCAAAGAATGATATACTCAACTTTTATTTTATATGTCTTTGGATTCGTTTAATTATTGTGTCTTATGATTCATCTGCCAACGTGTCTTTTCATATCTAAGTATAACTACAGTACCTGTACTACTTAATTGTGGGATGGGTTTTTATGACACTTGCTTCTGTCATTAATTTTGGTAAAATTTTTTGAAAATATTTTTTTAAGGTCTTCCTTAGCTGTTAGTTTGGTGGTTAGGCCCATCTTTTTTACAAAATGCCACCATACAAGATTCTCATGTGGGCAGCTTTCAAAATCGACCAGTGTCAATTTAAATTCAAGTTTCAAGCCCTCATTTCTCTACCTTTTCCTGGGAATTATACTAAAATGAAATATTTTAAATGGTCTGGTTCTCTGGAGGCTGATTGATCTCTGTGACTTATATATATTACAGCACTGGATACAGCAAATACATGTAAAAAAAAATTCACTTACTTGTAGCTCAAGTGAGTAGTTAATGTGGGGTAGCTTTTTAGCCCACCATGGCCCAGTGGATAAACTACTTGACTACCAACTGTGACTGTGGTGGCCTGAGTTCAAACTTGGTACCCAGAGGAGAAATTTTTTTACACTACCTGTGTACAATACAGGTTCTGATACACAGGGTGAGAAAACATCCTTACAGTAAGAAATAGCTGGTAAATCTGTGGGTGAACATATACTTGTAGTTTTGCAAAAATTCAAGTAATTGCATTTGGAGATTGGTCATTTTTATTTTATATGAGAAACTTGATGAGAGACAACAACTCATGATGTTTTCAAATATGGCTCAGTGTTCTCCCTAACTAATTTTCTTGCAGAGTGGTGAAAATTTGTTATTTTCTCTCTTAGTTAAATTATTTTTTGTTAGCTGAAATATTTTTCACAGATTATTTATTTTTTCTTTGGGTAAAATTATAATTTTTTTTATCTATTTATTTAATTTTTTTATTTTTTTTATTAAATACTGTTTGTAGTAAATCTTAGTATGAAGGTATCATTTTATCTCCCAACAGTTAATACGGATGGCAAACCTGGAGCTGTGGGTTTTGTGTCAGTGCTGTTCCCTAGCGTGTACCCCGTGGCCCTCATTAAAGTTGACGAAGACACCAGAGAAGTTGTCCGGGATGAGAATGGGTTGTGCATCATGTGTAAGCCAGGTATGAGTTGCTTTAGGAGTCTGTAATTTTTCTTATGAAATATTTTTAGTTTCGTTGTAATTTTTTCAATAGAATTTGGTTTCATGCTTCTCCTACTCCGGTGTAAGGTAGCTGGAACATAGAACAAACACAGTCTTCAAAGCATTCATTTAAGGTTATTGCTTAACAAATGTTTTCTACTATGGTATTCCCTTTTTTTTTTTTTTTTTAGGGGAATAGCCCACCCGGGCACGGGGCCCCAGAGACTTATTTGGTTTATCCCTAATGCTCCACACAACATAACATCAGGAATCAGCTGTATGTCTATTCCCTCAAAATCATAACACACCCTGTCACTCTTACTTTTCACCAAGAAGTTGATCTGAATGTCTTGCCGGCCTTTTCCCTCAATATTACTGGGTGGCTATACTGTAATTAAGAACATTACAATACATGTACAGTATTACCCCGCCTAACGCGGTTTCACTTAGCGTGTTTTACCATATACGCGGTGCCTTGCCAGAGCTGAACTTTCACTTAACGAGGGTTTTTTCCACATATACGCGGTGAGTGTCCGGCTCGAGAGCTATTTTTAGATTCGCCCCCACCCGCCACCCTGCCTGACTGCCTGTTTTAGCTCATAAAATTCATACAAATTACCCAGCCAGAATATAATTTACATTGCTGGAATTCTTACAATTTGGTGATCATTTTGAATATAAACATCATAGATTTTGCATTAGACATACAAATTTTAGATATAAAGTTTATTCTGAGTAAATATGTTATTTTTTGTGCAAAATATATGACATTTGTATTCAAAATATTCCTGGGCTTTCAAGGAATCCAGCAATGTCAATTATATTATCCTAACTTTAGTTTGAGGTATTATTTATTACTAAAAAGGTAAATATTCTGGTTTTCCCACACATCTGGTGGGACGGTTGGTGGGGGGTGGGGGGGAGGGAGGGACCGACCGACCATCTGTTACCGTGTGAAGAATATTTTTTTTTTTATTAACTGAAGATATTTGTTTTAGCTCATAAAATTCATACAAATTACCCGGCCAGAATATAATTTACATTGCTGGAATTCTTACAATTTGGTGATCATTTTGAATATAAACATCATAGATTTTGCATTAGACATACAAATTTTAGATGTAAAGTTTATTCTGAGTAAATATGTTATCTTTTGTGCAAAATATATGACATTTGTATTCAAAATATTCCTGGTCTTACAAGGAATCCAGCAATGTCAATTATATTATCCTAACTTTAGTTTGAGGTATTATTTATTACTATACCTGGTTTTCCCCCCAAAATTTCTCAAAGGGAAGAGCCAGCGAGTGTAGTGTGAGAAGAGGGGGAGGGAGTCGTGTCCATTATTTGAATGGACATTAACTTGGCGACTGTATTTCTCTATTTCTCTTAAGTATTAATTGTGTGCATGTACCATCATAAAATTAAGATGTTATTTTTACTAGAACATAGGTATTGTGTGGGAAAAAGTGGAGTTTGGGGATGGGCCAGTTTCTATTGGAACTAATCCCATATGTTCTGTTGTTCACTTAACGCTGTTTTCACTTAACACGGTACCCTCTGGGTTTTATTGACCGCGTTAAGTGGGGTACAACTGTACTGTATATGAATATTTCAAACATTGTCATTAACAGTCAAACTGTAGTATTTACAGAGGGATTTCTTATAAAAGACTTTCTTTCTGCCGTTATCTGTAAACGTATAGATTCTTTTGTTCACTTGGTGGGATGTCCTGATCATTTAAAAATTATAATTTAGTTTAAACTATTGGTTTAGGCAAATTTGGTTTCTGTATTTTGTTTCATAACCTTGGAGCTGATAGTTTTTTTCCATGCAAAAATGATAATTAGAATCCCATTCATCCACAGCTTATGGCTGATATAATCAATGGAATCATATTTAATGAATGACAATGTTGTAAATGTTCAGGTATAGTAGTGAAGAAGGCTTTAAACTTACTTGATTAGCCTGGTAAGATGTCAATCCACTAATCAGAAGAAACTGTATCTTAGATTTGCGGTGTGAATATTTTGTGAGAATTTTTTATAATTGATATATTTTGTCCATAACCAGTAGAATACTGCATTAATTGTCTGTTATCTGATTCACTTTAGGAGAGCCTGGTGAGTTTATAGGCAAGATAGTAAAGGATGATCCTATTCGAGACTTCCATGGATATGCTGATGAGAGTGCAACGAAGAAGAAGGTTGTAAGGGATGTCTTCGTTAAAGGGGATTATGCCTTCCTCTCAGGTGAGTTATGTGTGTGCAACTAGAATGAAAAATGTGATGTTGTATGGCAGTGAACTTGGATGGTTAAAGACAATGATATATGTAGGCTTGAACAAGCTGAAACAAGATGTGTAATGTGACCTTAAAAGATAGGAAACCTTGCTCAGAGCTGGGTATTGAGACTATTGGCGAGATTTTGCTTAGGGGTAGGCCAAGATGGTTTAGATATGTGACAAGAATGGAGACGACCAACTGCGTCAAGAAATATATGAGTTTGAGTGTAGGGGGGAAGAGCTAGGGGTTGGCCAAGAATGACATGAGAATAAGTTGTAAGAAATAACTTAAGAGAGAGACTGCCAGAGATTGTGCTAGCCCACACAAAGGTGGAAAGAGGCTTTAAAACGGTGATGATCACAGTGGATTCTGGGTAACCATGTTAACTAATTTTAATGATTTTGTCGCAGTTATGTTGCTTTGTCCTTGAAGCAGCATAGATCCCTTATAGAACTCACTGAAATAATGTTCATGGTAGTATGGGAAATTTAAAAAAAATATGTGCAGTCAACTCTGGGAGTACTATATTATAGTACTCCCAGAGTTGACTGCACATAGTACTACTATAACCAATAAATTACATTTTATAAGAAAAATTGCTTTATATTACAAAACATATGAAACCTAGAAATGTAACGTTAAGTTTGTCTAATGCTGCTATTGAATGTAGCATACAATACCTTCCACAGAAGTTAAGTGGTGTATATCAGCTTTTTTAACCAGCTTAATTATTGGCCAATGAGAATGCCTTTTCTATTTGCTTCCACCTCATACACAATTTGTCTCCATACTATGTGGTTCCAAGACATTTTTTGATGTAATTGGCATACTAACTAAAGTCTACCCACTCAAAGCTTCTTCAGCAACAATTACATCTCAAAGCAATTAACTGATATTTTATTGCTAAATGAATTGCATCTACATATCAACAAATGCACCATATATTTTATACAGTCAACCCTCACTTTACGCGGTTAATGTAACCCACAGGGTACCGCGGAAAGTGAGAAATGCGTAAAGTGAATAACATAACATATGGGATTAAATGAAATAGAGACCAGCTGACCCCCAAACTCCACTTTTTCCAACACAATACCTATGTTCTAGTAAAAATAACATCTTAATTTTATGATGGTACATGCACACAATTAATACTTAAGAGAAATAGAGAAATACAGTCGCCAAGTTAATGTCCATTCAAATAATGGACTCCACTCCCTCCCCCTCTTCTCACAGTACACTCACTGGCTCTTCCCTCTGAGAAATTTTGGGGGGAAAACCAGGTATAGTAATAAATAATACCTCAAACTAAAGTTAGGATAATATAATTGACATTGCTGGATTCCTTGTAAGACCAGGAATATTTTGAATATAAATGTCATATATTTTTCACAAAAGATAACATATTTACTCAGAGTAAACATTACATCTAAAATTTGTATGTCTAATGCAAAATCTATGATGTTTATATTCAAAATGATCATCAAATTGTAAGAATTCCAGCAATGTAAATTATATTCTGGCCGGGTAATTTGTATGAATTTTATGAGCTAAAACAAATATCTTCAGTTAATAAAAAAAAAATATTCTTCAGACACTATCTGTCAATCAAAGTACCCCACCTTGCCTCCCCCCTCTTCCAACCTGCCAGATGGTCAGTCCGTCCCGACCCTCCCCCCCACCTCCCACCAACCCTCCCTTCAAGAGAAAGAGTGGGTGAAAAAACTAGATTTTAACATTTAGTATTAAATAATACCTCAGTTTAAAGTTAGGATAATATAATTGACATTGCTGGATTCCTTGTAAGACCAGGAATATTTTGAATATAAATGTCATATATTTTGCACAAAAGATAACATATTTACTCAGAGTAAACATTATATCTAAAAATTTTATGTCTATTGCAAAATATATGATGTTTATATTCAAAATGATCATCAAATTGTAAGAATTCCAGCAATGTAAATTATATTCTGGCCGGGCAATTTGTATGAATTTTATGAGCTAAAATAAAAATCTTCAGTTAATAAAAAAAAAAAATATTCTTCACACATGCCAGGTGGTCGGTCGCCGGTCCCTCCCTCCCCCCCACCCCCCACCAACCGTCCCTACTAGATAAATGTGTGGGAATACCAGACTGTTTAACTTTTTAGTAATAAATAATAAATCAGACTAAAGTTAGGATATAATTGACATTGCTGGATTCCTTGTAAGACCAGGAATATTTTGAATATAAATGTCATATATTTTGCACAAAAGATAACATATTTACTCAGAGTAAACATTATATCTAAAATTTGTATGTCTAATGCAAAATCTATGATGTTTATATTCAAAATGATCATCAAATTGTAAGAATTCCAGCAATGTAAATTATATTCTGGCCGGATATTTGTATGAATTTTATGAGCTAAATAAAACAATTTTACTTCACCCGTGTAAAGGGGTACACCCACCGCGGAATGTGAGCATCCTGGGTTCTGGCAGGGCACCGTGTAAACGTGGAAACGCGGAATGTGGGACCGCGTAAAGTGAGGGTTGACTGTATTTATTTTTCAATCTGTAGAATTAAATTAGTTCGTGTGATGCAGCTTCATTATCTAGACTGTATGTTGGGAGATGCAACAAATGGGTGGCTCGGTTTTTGTGGGGTTATGTGTAGGTAATGAGCTAAGAAATTTGATTTAAGCCATACATATATCGGTGTAAGGTAAAATTAAGATTAATTTCTGTTGTTCTCCAATTTGCTTTATTAGAATCACTGTGACTTACAAAACAAAAATTCTGTTACGTCTTGAGATTATGAATGAAAAACTCTTGCCGTTTCATAAAAAATTTTTGTACAGTATTTCTTGAGAGCCTTACCACCATTTCTTGAAGGAAATGTTGAGAATTGCATGTTTTAACAATCTTTGTTGACATGGTTATTAAAGGAAAAATGAATTTCCCTGAGGGCCTTAATATGAACTTGTAAACATAGTAAAATTGTGAAGAGTTAGAATTAATTGTACTTTATTAGCATGAAGGTTGAATCTGTAATTACACTATCAGCAGAAAGCCTTTTCTAAATACGTATGATGATAATTTATGAGAATCCTGATAATTTATGAAAATTGCAATATGACCTTTGAAAACTTTAGTAAAGTACAGAAAACTTAAATGATAAGATATGCAAACCAAAGGTACATGTGCTTTAAAAAAATTTCAAATAAGCTGTAACAACTTGAAGTAAGTTGGTCTTAGGATGTAAATAACAAGTTAACAGGGTCCTAAACTATGCTTCAATGCTGTTAACAATTGGCAAAGTCCGCCTCTGTAAGTCCAGATACGAGACGTCCATCAGAACATTCCGCTAGCTTCAAGATATCATGAGCCTTATGTGACACTACCCATGACATGTCACACTCACATCCCAGTGCATTACCTTAGGAAGAGAAGGAAACAGTTTTAGGTAAAGCAGTCCTTCAGATGATTGTGATTGTTATGTTGATGATTTGAACCATTTGAAAGTTAGTTTAAACTATAATTTCAAGCAGATGTTTTTGAATTACTGATCATGTAAGTTTGTGTACCATGTTGGGAATACTCGGGTGAAAATTACAGGCGAGCATTTGTATCGCTTTCCCTCGGCTACCAGGACTTACCATGATCTAAAATACTCTGGTGACCATTTGTTACATCTTTGACTAGGTCTCCCAGATTCCCTGTATTTATCACATGGTGTTTTCTTGCCTTTCAATTTGTCATGTCGATTTAGGTCGGAAATGTAAAGCTAATGTTAAGGCAAGGTCAAAAAATTATATAACAAAATAAGAATCCATACCTTTTACCATACAAAAAAAGTAGAAGTAATGTACCACCTGACCTTGGTAGTAATGTCCTACAGTCATTGCGCTTAATACCAATCATGGGTATACACCGGTATATAGTATTACGTGTATTAAAGGGTATACTCTATATGATAAACCGAAACATTGTTTAAAAAGTCAATTAACAAGGTTGTTCCTCTCACCCCCTATTTTCTTAAGAAGATATATTTCATAAACCACAAATTGAACTGCCTTGACCCTTCTTTGGTATCTACCCTCGAGATCAGTCAGGATTATCACAGTACAGTATGCAATTTTCCTCTCAGATTGTAGGGTACTTCATTGCATCAGTGGGTCATGTGAAAAGGGCAGTCACTGTTGTCGCTTTGTCTTTGTATGTATGAAACACATCTTGAGAGTGGAAAGAGCTACAATGATAATATTTGTATTAATTAATCAACATAACATTATCATGGCTATTATGTTGTGGGTTTAAAAGTACAAAGCTTCAAGGTAACAATTGAAGGCTAAGCATTCTGCACTTATGAAACAGGGTTGACTTCATAAACTTTCATGATTTTATCCTGGTACTTACCATCTAAAAGTATGTAAGCCTCCAAACCATAATCAGAAAACATGTGATCAAGTAGAGGTGAAAATGTCTCGCTGCTGAGGGTTGTGATGTTATTGTGACTCAAAATCAGTTCCTTTGCCATTCTTCCTGAGTGAGAAATTTTTAATGCATTAATTACTGCAGATGTGTTTCAGTGTTTAAAAGAAATGTCCATATTATATTGGTCTTAATATATGGCAATAATATTAATTGAGATGATATGTCGGGCATTGTTCTGGAGTGTGTCTGTCTGTTCTGGAGACAAAAATCTTGTAAATAGCATAAATTGTCTCGGGTAAATTTACTTTTGATAAAACTTGGTGGTAAAAGTGTTATTATTTGAGTCGGCTTTGATCCTGTATGACCTTTCTAGAGTGGCCTGAACATGGAAAATGCATTATTTCCATTGATGAGTAAATTTTTGTTAGGTCTTATTTAGTCTCATTGTTGCCATAGTTTTATATGTGAATGTTTTTTATATGTTGTATATATACTTATTTGTTAATTTATATAAAATTATTTACAGCATACAGTATTTTGTTTATCATGACTTTAGCATGTTACAGTACTGTAGTACCATTTCAATGGTAAAGCTCACCTCCAAAAGCTGATGGATTCACTCCCTCAGATAGATGGTTCCAAGCCAGATCCAGGTACATATCCTCTTCCTCACCAGAGAATGTCAGACTTCCAGCCATTAATGATTCACTTGTTAATTGGTTGAAGGGCAAAAGGAGCTGACTCAGGTTTTGTGCTCCAAAAAAATAGTCTGGAGTTATCTGGAGTAATTTGAGGGATTGTTGTGTTATTTCCTTAAAGACAGTTAAAATATACGCAAGCTTAATCTTATTGGGTTACTACTGCCAAACCGCACATAGGATTTTGCACGCTATTTTTCAGGCATCATTATTGCCTTTGAGGTTTTGAGATGTTCACTTGCTCATTATGTGTGATGTTGGAGACAGTTTCCCAATGTAAAAGCAAAAGAATATACCGGTATGCCACTTGAAATTATTGCTTAGATTGATTTGTTATCATTAAGAATGTATGACATTTTAATAAATACCCTGTAATTAAAATAAATTTTCAACAAAGTATGGAAGAAATTAGCAGGAGTTCTAGTTTGGATTTACATTGCCAAATAGCTTGCTTATTAATCATTAAATCTATGAACTACAGTACAGTATGTGTTTGAATGAATGATAGCAAATGAGGGGTAATTTGTGTTGTTCATGATTCTAGCCACCTGCACCAGAGCAAGAAGGGGTTTGCAAGAGGTTGAAAAGTGCAGTGCATTACAGTATAGTTAGTACTCAAAACTTTAACAATTTGATGAATTGTTTTGACTAGCATGTAGTGAGGCAGTTGCCTTTTGTGTTAAGAAACGAGAATGCCAAGGAAGAATGCGGGTTATGTAAACATTCATATTGAAGGGGGAACATTAAAGAATAAAAATACAGAGAGAGAGCGAGGTAAATTTGTGAAATGGAAAAATAATAGTGTGAAGGACAGTGTGGGGTGTGACAAGTGGAGCATGTCATTGTAATGGTGCTGTAGTGTTGTCATTGTTAAGGTGCTATAATGGTACTATGGCGACCTGTGGTGTAATGGTCAGCATCCTTGCCTCGCAAGCGAACGGACCCGAGTTCGATCCTCGGGCAGGGTGAAACTCTGGGCAAGTTTCTTTACGCCATTTGCCTCTGTCTACCCAGTAGTAATTGGGAACCTGGATGTTAATCCATTTGCGGATCGTATTCCGGGGTAATGGCTAGCCAATGCAGTTGGTGAGCTGTCCAGTCTTCTCGGACTATTCCGTGACACTGGGTCATGCAGCTCGTTAACATAGGGTATGGTTGTTGTGTTGGCGACAACTTCTACACCTTAACAAATTCACTCCTAGGAGGCCCTTGGGTCAGCCATCCTCAATTTCGAGGGGTTTCCATTATTATTATTTATAATGATATGGTCAAAGGAAAAAAACAAAATACAGTATTACCCCGCCTAACGCGGTTTCACTTAACGCGTTTTATCATATACGCGGTGCCTCACCAGAGCTGAACTTTCACTTAACACGGATTTTTTCCACATATACGCGGTGAGTGTCCGGCTCGAGACGCTATTTTTAGATTTGCCCCACCCGCCACCCTGCCTGACTGCCTGTTTTAGCTCATAAAATTCATACAAATTACCCGGCCAGAATATAATTTACATTGCTGGAATTCTTATAATTTGGTGATCATTTTGAATATAAACATCATATATTTTGCATTAAACATACAATTTTTAGATAAAATTTTTTCTCTAGGTAACTATGTTATCTTTTGTGCAAAATATATGACATTTATATTCAAAATATTCCTGGTCTTACAAGGAATCCAGCAATGTCAATTATATTATCCTAACTTTAGTTTGAGGTATTATTTATTAAAATTTAGTGGTTATCCCACACATCTCCTTGGGACGGTTGGTGGGGGGTGGGGGGGGAGGGAGGGACCGACCGACCATCTGTTACCCGTGAAGAATTATTTTTTTTTTTATTAACTGAAGATATTTGTTTTAGCTCATAAAATTCATACAAATTACCCGGTCAGAATATAATTTACATTGCTGGAATTCTTATAATTTGGTGATCATTTTGAATATAAACATCATATATTTTGCATTAAACATACAATTTTTAGATAAAAATTTTTCTCTAGGTAACTATGTTATCTTTTGTGCAAAATATATGACATTTATATTCAAAATATTCCTGGTCTTACAAGGAATCCAGCAATGTCAATTATATTATCCTAACTTTAATCTGAGGTATTATTTAATACTAAATGTTAAAAACTCTGGAAGGGAGGATTGGTGGGGGGTGGGGGGGAGGGTTGGGACTGACCGCGCGGTTGGAAGAGGGGGGGAGGCAAGGTGGGGTACTTTGATTGACAGATAGTGTCGTGAAGATTATTTTTTTTTTATTAACTGAAGATATTTGTTTTAGCTCATAAAATTCATACAAATTACCCGGTCAGAATATAATTTACATTGCTGGAATTCTTATAATTTGGTGATCATTTTGAATATAAACATCATATATTTTGCATTAAACATACAATTTTTAGATACAAATTTTTCTCTAGGTAACTATGTTATCTTTTGTGCAAAATATATGACATTTATATTCAAAATATTCCTGGTCTTACAAGGAATCCAGCAATGTCAATTGTATTATCCTAACTTTAGTTTGAGGTATTATTTATTAAAATTTAGTGGTTTTCCCCCAAAAATTTCTCGGAGAGGGAAGAGCTGGCAGTGTAGTGTGAGAGTGAGTTGAGTCCATTATTTGAATGGACATTAACTTGGCGACTGTATTTCTCTATTTCTCTTAAGTATTAATTGTGTGCATGTACCATCATAAAATTAAGATGTTATTTTTACTACAACATAGGTATGTGCCTTCAAAAAGTGGAGTTTGGGGGTCGGGCCGGTTTCTATTGGAATTAATCCCATAAGTTCTGTTGTTCACTTAACGCGGATTTCACTTAACGCGGGACCCTCTGGGTTCAATTGACCGCGTTAAGTGGGGTACAACTGTATCAAAGAAAGAATAGCTCCTTTCCCTCAGTAGTGCCTCCATGGGTGATGGTGTATATGGGTTTGCTTATGAGGCATTATATTTTTAAATTGATATAGGGTTAAAACCATAGTTACCATGATTAAGGGATGACTCTATTACAGTAGTTAAATGAATTTTTTTGCACAAGAAAGACATATATATATGCAGACACTGGTTAGGTGCTTTCCTGAATCCATTTAGGTAGTTTTGAAAACTTTATTAAGTGTATCAGAATGGATTTACATTCTTGCCCAATGGAAAGGTCAGGTGTATGAGTTGTGTTGGTGCATTGTAATATTAACAGTTTGTCTGTAGTAATGTTTGAAAAATTGTTTTATCATGAAATTTTGTTTATACTTTACTGTATTATTTTTTATTCCACTGTTGTGTAAGGGTAACAGCGGTAAAACACATATATCTCAACAATATGTCAAGGGTTTGAGTCTCACTTGGCCTGGAAACACGTGAAAAGAGATGTTATCCAGTGTGACCCTACCAAACAACACAGGTTTCCTCCATGCTCTCCATTATACAGGTATTCCTCACATTATGGACACTCAGATTGAAGAAATTCAAGACTGTTCAATGTACTATGTTACCCTTGTTCAAGATGAATGGAAAGAGGCTTTCAAATGAAAGCAGTGGTGCTAAAAGAGCCCATAAAGGAATTGTGTTGATTTTAAAACTTGATGTTTTATGGAGTTTGATGCTGGATAAAAACTTAGCTAGATTGCAAAAAATATTAGGGCTTGCTAAGTCTCCCAATAATTCCCATTTCACCACCTTACCTCACGCAGCACTCAACATCATTTTTGGCGAGTTAAATTCAAGTGTTTTGTGTACAGTACTGTATTTATTATCATATTACTGTATATCATAAAATAATCGATGTATGTATTTAAAAATGTTTATTTTCATTCATAAGTATGCTTGTATTACTCCTTTTTGCCAAAAAAGTTTCATTAAAATGCATATCCAATTATATAATAGAAGTCACTGGGAAAATGGGGTTCACATTCCGTAATTTCACTTTACAGTCAACTTTTCAAAGAAGAATCCATTCCATAACTCGGGGAATTACTGTACAGTACTAACACTGGATTGACCAACTGCTCAAACAGCTAGTAAGCTGATAAGTGGTGATATGATGGGGGAAATGTAGAAGCCTCATAGAAAGAAGAAAATTGATAGGGAAAAGTGAACAGGAGAGGTTGTAAGCATATAAAAATGATCCTACATTTGTTCATACCTTTCAATTGCACATGCTACAATATAATTTTCTATTCAAACTACTGTTAACAAAAACAAAGGGGATAGTCAACATACTGAAGTGATTTCATTGTTGCTGAAGTCTATGTATGGTACAGTTGTTGGTTCCAGTTCTTCACTGAGGCTGCCCAGCTTATTGTGTGAACAGTAGAGAGCAAACAGAGCAGGGAGGGAACCGGCCTGGAAACATTGTAAATATTAGTTGTGAAATAATTTTATAACTAAACGTAATGTTGTAGAGTATTGTATATATGGATCAAATGAATCTGAGCTAATCATGAAGTTCTTCAGATAAAAGGAAAAATTTACTTTTTAGTTGAAAAGTCGATGTTAATTTACCCGTAATTTTTCATAAAAATAAGAAGACTGGAAATTGGAAATGCCTTGTGAAATTTGTCACATAGAATGCTTACACCTGAGTAATTGAAAAGGTGAAAGCATCATTACCATTGCTAGAGTTTTCATGAATCACTTACTACATTATTTTCAAGAGTTGTGAACTCTGAGTTGTATTTGATGTAGAGGGATGTGAGCCCATTTGCTGTCTCCACACTGAACACATCTTTGTTTAGGTACTCCAGGCCTGTGAGTATTAATAGCTGTCTAGTACATCATAATAGGTACAGCAACAATAATAGAAAGAGCTCGAATAGCTTCTTTTTTTTATCTTTTTTCTTTCTTTTACATAGCACCATTACATTACAGTGACCCCTCCGTTAACGAACTCAATCCGTTCCAGAAGGTCGTTTGTTAACCGAAAAGTTCGTTAACCGAAACCATTGTTTCAATGGGTTTTTGGGTAATTGGTTCCAGCTCACCGAAAATTTCCTAAATTCAACAAAAATGGTAGAAAAGTTCACTTACTTTGAGGTGTGTATGTAGAAGGCTCCTGGATGATGATGATGATGA